CTGAATTACTTATTTTTATTCATCAATCAAAATACAACGTCTCCGGTCTCTCTCTCCTTGGTGCATGAATAATTTTAAGTCGCCCTTTCCATATTTTTTCCATTTTGAATTTGGATATACCCATGGGCTGAAACCTAAAATTAGGATATCTACATTGAGATTTCGACATTGAATAAAAATTTAAAGCAAATGCCCATATAGCTTTCTCTCTTTTCATCGTAGTTGGGTTAGAACCAGAAGCGGAATAGGCCCATAAATTTATTGGAACCGTCCCGATTTAATTAGAGTGGGTGAATCCGATATTTTCAAGCAGATAATGAGAGAGAAATTAAGTACAAATGGAACTAAAGATGACATCTTTAGACGGATAAACTTAAAATATAATACCTCTGTAGAGATAAAACCTTAATTAAAATATAAAATGGAAATCAATAATTAATTTAATAAATAAGAAATAAGTAGACAAGTCCCCCTATATTTATGATCGCAAATGGCCTTAGAGATTATAGAAATACAAAAAACAAAAAAGAGAAGACAAGTTTGAGTAAGAGAGATTCATTTCATTACAATATGTTGCAATTTAAAATTCATTTTGACTATAAAATGAATGTAATGATCAACAAACCCTCATGCATGAAACATACTCTCATTGTTTACAAATTTTATAACAAAATAATAAAATTCATAATGAATACCCCTCTTTTGAGAAACATAAAAAATTAGATTTTTAATATATTTTAGTCACGTTTTGAAATCTTTTAAGGCCAACTGATTCACTTATCCAGATCACCAATCCACATTATTTTTCTTAAGGGCTTCTGAGAGTCACCCATCTTGACACCCAACAAGTCAGATAGCCAACTAGTGCCTTAGTTAGTCTTGTCCACATTAAAAACCATGTTTGATAAAAAAACCAAGTTAAAACCAATGTTTTACTAATTTTGGCCTGTCTAATCGGCTAGTTTAGTAGACCAGTTAACTGTCTAAACAAAATTAAACAATTTTTTTGTAATGTATTTTATAGCTTTAAACTATATTATATATTTTTATATTTTAAAATTTAGTCTAACCAGTTCAACTAGATCAATTTTTTACTAACTAGACCTACCTTTACTAATTTTATAGCCAATCCAATCCTAATAGCACTAATTAAGACCAAGAGTACTTTATTTTGAAAACAGCTATAATAATTAATCCCATTGAATCGTCAAAAGATGGGGGTTGCGTTGCCGAAAGGCCATGAATCAAGGCAAATTACTCACACTCAAGCATTAAGCGCACCCATGCGAGAGAGAGAGAGAGTGTACATAGTTGCGGTGATTTAAAAAATGGATCGGTGATCTGGATTGAGTACCACAAAAACTGCTTTGGATCGTGAATCCACAGTCCATATCGTTGTTTTATTTTATGGAAAAACAATGAACCGACAAAAAAATACGCGAAAGAATATTGAAACGGCTAAAAACTGGTCTGGATCACCATTTTACTATATAAAATCGTCGTTTTACTGTGCAGAACTGTCGGTTCCTTGTAGACTCATCGTTTTCCTGTATAGGTGGCCAAGTCCCAGATCAGACTAGATCATTCTATGCCGACCCGACGGTTTTTAAATCACTGCATAGTAGTGATATGCCTATGGTTTTAGAAGGCAAATTATAATTCTCACAAAGGACAATATTTCAAAAAAAAAAAAATTAAATTCATGTAGGTATAAATATCTCACAACTTATACTTTAGAATGTCTTTACATAAAATATCAACCACCTCATCGACTGCAACAAAAACATCTTCAGTAGCAGCCTTTCCCTAAATATGACGTTATGTTTAGAATTGGATTAAAACATTTTTAACATACATAGAAAACAGTTTATATAAGATTGTGTCCTTTATGTAGTAACCTATATTATTTATTTTATTTACATAATATAGATTTAATACCGTTTTAAATGCATTCTACCTTTTAATAGTATTATAAAAGACACCAAATCTACACCATCTACCAAAAATAGATAGTATAGGACACCACAATCTTACTTTTATACATAAGATTGTCACCTTATACAAACCGTGCCCATATATATAGCTTAAGGAATGTCTACAAAGAGACCAATTATCTTTTCTACAAAAAGGTCACAATCATTCTTGTACTTTAGATTTTAAAATGGGTGGTTATAAGAATATCATTGATTAGATACAAAGTTCCAAAAAAAAATTTTCGGACTTCGTGACTCACCTTAAGCCATCCAATTTGATATCCAATGAGTGAGAATAATTGTGACCTCCTTGTACAAAAAATAAATGAACTTTTTATAGACAATCTCGTTTATAGTCAAGACTAGTAAATCATAAAGAGCGTGTTTGCTATGCTCCACAGGAGCATACAATATACTTACTCCATTGGGTGGAAGACTGACTTGAGAAGAGTTTTTCAATCTGAAATTTTGGTAACAACCTAAAACTTACTAGATGATTATATTCGAAAAAAAAATTAAAATGTGAGTTTTCTAAACTCATATCTCACGTTTCAAAGTTATGTCAGTCTTGAAGAATTATTTTTTTATGCCCATAGATAATGCAATTTGGAAATTATTTTTTATTCAATGTTGCATTGGGTTGAAGATGTCGTATCCCCAAAATTTGGAATCCTAAATAAACTATTGGCTTTGACAGAGGGAGTAGATGCACATTAAGCTCCCTCGAAAGCATGAAACCATCAGGCAGTTATAAATTCACCATTGTGAATCCACAAAAGTTGAGGTTAATGTAATTTAGGAAATAAGTATTAAAATTCAAACATTATTAAATAATCACAATGGAAGTTATTCATGAGTGTTTTTAGGTGTTCTTCTATATTGTATACATACAAATACATACTCTTTTTTGGGTAATTTAGTGGGGATAACAAGCCCCTACCCATATTTTGAAATTATTAGTGGTTTTTTAATGCATTAGATGAGAATAGAAGCCTAGACCGTAACTGGGGCACAAATACATACTTGTGTGCGTGCGATGGCCTCCACCATGATTGAACTGATAAAAAATGAGAAAGGTAGGGCTATTAAGAACAAACCCATCGAATTTGCAACATAGCCTAGGCAATTAAGAGAGACTTACATGCGACAGGGACCGCATTTCTGCACTTGAACATGGAACAATTTTACAGAAAGAAAATTGGTACATGCGAAGCGGTTCCTGAGGTAGACAGCATTCATCTTAAAGATAGATACAAATAGGTGGTCCATCTAAAACCAATTGAAATTAACGGTCCAAATGTTTTCTTAATAGAACAATTATTTTTTATTTTCAAAATTTATTTATTTTTTCATATTCATGATCTCCATATTAGAGATTAAATGTCTTTAAAATTTGGGTCAAAAATTCCTTTTCAAAAATAGATTTTTACGAGGTGACCCATTTCTACTTGAACTCAAGAGAAACCGTGTCCATAAAAGAATCAAGCATATTTTGCATAGCTCAATTCAGGAGCTGCTTTTCCGTAGTACAATTTCAAAATAAGATGGCAATAAGATTTTGCTTCAAAAATTAAATGTACGGATATGTCGAGATGTAGTTTAGCTTTTAGGTGAAGAGCTAGCCATTTGTAGTATATGTTTCAACAGAGACACTTGTGTCAATATCCATTGCTTCAAATTACAGTCCCACCCAAAGGTGAAATTTATACAAGAATGTAAGGCATGATCTTTCATCATAATGGACAAAGCGAAAGAGGGTCTCCAAAACAATAAATGCAACTTTTGAAAAGAAACTAGCCCTTCCATTACAAAGAAAAAATGGTGATATTGAGTGCTTTGAAATTATAAGAGTAGAAATACACATCATTAGTAAAATAAATAACCCACCTTTTTTTTTTTCCAGGAGATTGAGATTAAAGTCAGGAGCATTGACTCCAAATCAGACACGAGTTCTCTTTCAGGTTTTAAGATTCATCACCACAAAGTTCCACATTTAAACTCAACCAATGGAAAATAGCTTTGGAAGCCAGTTTTAGATGCCAAGCAATAAAAGAACTTTGGGCTGGGAAAGTCAAGGGAAAATATATGTGTTGTTTATTTGCAGAATGGGAAGAGATTGACTTCGTCGAATATAAATTCAATCACAACCATTTCATCTATTTGATAGCCTGTGGTGCTTGTAATTTTATCTATTTGATATTAGGAAAGTTGAAAATCGTCTCTTAACTGTTCATTACCATTTCATCAATTAGATGTTGAAATTCATATTTCGAATAAGATTTTTTTATGTTACAAACCCATCTAGAGGCTTGTTTTTCAACTGTAACTCAATTAGATTTGAAATTTGACTTTTCAAAGTAAAGAGGTAGGTTTTTGTGGAGAGATATAAAAGAGAGGTGTGCAATTGTAGAGAGGGAAGTTCTCTCAAGGAGAGAGAGAGTAGGCTCTAGGTCTAGGAGAGAGAGAGTAGGCTCTGATGGGAAACAGAGACAAGAGGAGGAAGAGGAAAGAGAGATAATAAACTCTAGGGTACTGATTGACTTTCCAGGAAAGTTGCAGCCCACCCTTGGCTTTCCCTGTGGGAACAGTGCAGGGGGAGAGTTAGAATTCCACTTTCCCCTATTTACTATAGCTTGTCCCACAATCAAATGGGGGAATGCTATAGATACCAGGAAAGTAGGGAACTTTCCTCAGCTTTCTTCGTTATCAAATGCAGCCGAAAAGAGTCTTCTTTGTCTCTTTTTCAGGGCCATTTCTTTAATTATCTTTTATTGGGCAGCATAGTTTTGTGGTTTCATTTTAAAATATACTTTGAATTATTCATATGTACTCCCACTCCATAAATCCTTTAAACCCTGAGATTTCCTTCTCAAATCCCCCAATACTAAGCAATCAATTGCTGAGGATCAAGGGCCCGTGCTTCAGTTTCAGTAATCTTCGAGTACTAACAAAAATATCCAGCTAATAATTTTCATAAATATCCATTATCACATTTGGTGAGACATGTAATAAAAAAGGTAAGATATGTTGAACAATTGAAACTTGGATTTGACATTTCCTATATGCTTCACATAAAAACAGATGTTCAGATCAAATTACATTCGCATTCTCGACAACCTTTACTGTAAAAATATACAATGATTCGGCAAAGCCGGACCCGAAATGAAAACCTAATAAGATATTCATAAATCCCATTTGCTTGAGCATCTGGATGCAAAATTTCTCTTTTTCTTTTTCTTTTTTTACACTCTATAACTCAGGCTTGCTATACCAATGAAACCAACCCATATGTACTTGGATAATCAGACACATACAATTGAGGTATCTATTAGATCATACAACAAAACAGCAGCCATGTGAGGACAGACAAAATCTGGCTTTTCATCAAAACGAACTAAATGTATCATTTTTTCAAATTGGTCCTCGAAAGAATCCGCTTTCCAAATGGGCTGCTCCTTAAAATGGATACATGGGGCCGAATCACTTCAACCAGTTCAGCATGGACTGACCCCTATTGTACACAAAAGCATTAGGAACATAATTTCTTTCACATGAAAATATGCTAAAGAAGACAGTGGTTTATAGACAAACCTTGGACACAGTTAGTGCAGATTGTACAACATAGTTTGCATAGGGATCTTGCAGCAATTTTTCAAAATGAGAACTTGAAACCATCTCGTATATAATTCTCGAGCGTGTTTCTTCGCCACACAACTTAAGACACTTCTCCACTACGTTACTACTGAATTTCTGCATTGAGAGATCTACATAATGCCCTTCCAGTTGAGAAATTATGTCGGCAGTGGCCCATGGAATCCCCTGTTCTAAGATATATTGAATCACATAGTTCCTGTAAACAAAAATAAGGTGGTCCAAGAATCAGCCAAGAAATTTCAAATATAACAAAGTCATTATATTTTCAACACTAGTAAAGTGACTTTTGGAGAAATGGAAAGAGGAAATGGTAACTTCCATAAAATTAAACCTAAATTATTGAACTATATTTGCTTTCATAAATTGATTTGCTCATTACATATTCGCTACCCAATCAATGCCAGTTCTGAAGAAACTGTAAGTGAAATGTGAGCATCCTAGGCATGTGTATCTCACTCTAGGTATGTGCTTCAGGAAAAATCATCACCCAAGACAACCAAGATTTCGGAAATTGAAGTCCACTTCATATATTCACAAAGCATGTAGCAAAATCTTGTTTTAGATGTGCTTCCATCTTATGTAAACTTAGGCTTGGATAGCAATAGGAAATTAAGCCAATGCAATTTGCAACAACTTCCACTATGGTCTCTCCTTTTAACCACATGGTCCCTATGAGAATTTCCTGTAAAGGGCTAAAAAATGACCAGTATTTTACCTAATTGTGGATAGAGCATTTTTCTGTCATTCGGCATTTATGTCTTGTATAGAGGCTTTAGATTAAATCCAATAGGGTTAATCATCCAATAAGCTCTAAAAGGTTGGATTAGAAAACAGAATTAGTCTACAGAAATAAAGCGCAGCAGCACTACAAAACAGGTTGTGCTATGAAAGTAGACAAAAATAAAGGTTAGCATAATATATCAAATACCCAACCCATTTCTAATCAGATGGATAGTTTAGCTGAATTTGAGAAGGTTTTTTGTTGGCATTAAAACCACCATCTCTATGAGATGTATGGCGATCAACAGGGAGGTGTTTGCAACACCTCAAGAGGCCCATCTATTCTCCACTAATACATACAAATGGAATGATCCCTTGGTGCTTTTTCATTTCTATTCTACTGTTCACCATGTGATGCCACAATGTGCCCATTGCACTGGAGACGCTAAATTGAGGCGCTGGCAATGAATCCGGAGCTATTTATTGGTGCATACCGATTGCTAGGTCCACAAGCATATTGATGTATCCTTTACATATCCTCAATGTTCTCAAGATTTGGTATCCCATGAATATCCCCACTTAAAAAAATACTTGATACATCTGATTTCTAAGATTGGCATCTCAAATAAGACCACATAAACCCGATCCTCACATTATGAGAAGTGGGTTAGTTGCCTTCTTTATCTTACTATATAACAGACATTATATTTACACATGCACACGTCTTATGTGATTGATAATATGTCCTTAAGAGCCACAACTTTTTCAGAAGTCCGTCATATAATACGATGTATATGGTCCACATGATTAAGGGGCTCATATTCTTCAATTGCAACTGTTATTCTGCACCTCAGATGTGTTACGTTTTCTTTTTCACCCTTTTTTAACTTGGTCTAACCCCCATGAGGAGTGGGGCCACTTGTTTGGAAACAAGATTGGTAGAGGCCACATTTGGAAAAGGAAAAATTTATAATTAGGTTTTCTTATAAATATATCAGCTTATTCTTTTAGCGGGGTTGTTGAACAAAAAATTAAAGGCAGAGGTTGAGATGCTTTGTTTCTCTCTCTAGGGCTTTTGAGGTGCTAAAAAACTACAGAGGACTTCTCTTCCACAACTCTCAGCTAAAAAACTAGCTAGGGTTTTTGGAGAGGAATTTACCACACTTCTAAGAAAGAGGAAGAAAAATAACAAAACTGATCTCACAAAGGCAACCATGTATGTTTCTATTTTCTTGTTCCCAAATCCTCAAGCCGCACCTAATCGGCTTGAGAAGATCCATTGTAATAGTTTTATTGCTTAGTGGGTTTAATCTGTGATGCCCCATAATTTTCCCTTCTTTGAAGGGTTTTCCACATAAATCTTAGTGTTACGGTTAGTTTTTTATTTCCTACAGATTTGGATATTTTTATTTCTTTGTGGTATTTGTCTTTGATTCATACATAGATGGGAAGGCACCACTGCCCAACAAGATGCTCATATGTGGATATGGATATGGACATGAATAAGGAAGAGGAAATACAACTCAAATTCTCTTGAGATCCAAGACACAAATACAAGTATTCCATCAAATGCATTGATACATGTATATTAATGCAAGCAGATAAACAAGGATTACAGTACAGAATATAAGGATAAGATATATATATTCATTATATTAGCATATGCACACAATATTCTAGGTACACATATAATTTAATAAGTTGATGGCATCTACCAGGTATAGCACATTATAGTTTTACTATAGACATCACAGGTTACATATATCAAATGATACAGCATAATTTTATGCTTTATTTATGGAAAAAATTTATATAAGAGTGAGGCCCTAAACAATCAAATCAAGAAGTACCTCAAAATTTCATTAGAAGAGAATGTTTCGATGCCTACAAATCCTCGAATTGATCATCTCAACCTCAAGATGTATGAACATGAGAAAAAATGGATTTCAAGTGTTGGAAATATTGCATCTTATAATGCATTTTCTGAACCATCACTTTTCAAGATTTTCAAGTGTTCATAGATCTGCTCTTCTACACTCTTTTTGAGGTTTTCAATTTTACAATTAGATATAAAAATAAATTTTTAGACCATTACAAAGATTTTCAATACTGAAACAATATCTTTTGATGCTATTCGAAGGTAGCCTTACTTTGATTGTTTAGGGCCTCAGACTTATACAAACCACACCCTTTATTTATATATTGGTTGATACTTATAGCCCTTTAACTTGCAAAGCACAAGTAACTTTGGAGCATCCAGTGTTGCATCATGACTTATGACAACGTCACAATAATACACTATGAATATACAAGCATCCAAGTATCTTAGCTTACAACTCACTCATGTACAAATGGTTGCACATATGTAGGTTTATAATCAGGAAGATGAAGAGCAAAAGACAATCTCCAAATCAAGCCAAAAGTAGTGTATTATGCAACATTTGCATTGAGATTGTTTTCGATTTTACTCATCACAGCCTCACGTTCATTTCACTTCTGCGATACCTATATGTCATGACAACACCAGCCCATCTAGATTGATTCTAATTTGATTTTTCATTAGTGAAAGAAGCATATTAAAGTTACTTGTCACTTTATGATGGACAAGTTTTCTCTGTATTTTTATTGTAAGAACCCTACCACAAGTTTTAGCTCTTAGTCCTTACATATCCAAGGTACATTAGGTCTCAGGTTTGATACTAATGCACAGTAGGTTTATGACATATTGACTCATTTTTTGTGAACAAACTTACCCTTTCTAAGGGGCGGCACTTCAGCATGTGAACCACATACATAAGAGACATAAATCATAATCCCTCATTTACTCTTCAAAACAACTACTGTCACACTCAATTTGTCACTTCCAAGCTGTAAATAGGAGAAAAGATTCTAATATTTGAATAACTGAGATAACCAATAAGCAAAAAGGAGACAAAATACCAATTTTCCACTATTTGGCATGGATGAAAGTAAAAGAAAAATTTGAATGAACACAAGCAAATAGCCAAAGAAGAATTTTACAGCTATATTCCTTTCCCAGCAGAAATCAAAGGTGAAGAGAAATCCAGAAATAGAATTAACTAAATAAATTGCTTTCAGCATCAACTGAGTGTTGAGCCAAACTGATTGGAGAACATACCCAAATGCATCTTGAGAAAGAATGAGTCCCTTGGCAGTTATTTCTGCAATTAAGTTATGTCGATGAGCCCCAGATGAGTGATGCACGCAACGTTGTATAACACAACATCCATGGCGATGTGTAGCAATATCAACACAATTATTCCTAGTAGCATCGTAAAGGAACTGCCCATAGAAAATAAATAGACATGTAAAGAGATCAACTCATATATTTTGTAAAACACTGTAAAGTCTGAGGTATGAATTGCACAAAATGCAAATGATACATAACATATAAGGAATCTGCATGAAATTGCACATAACTATGATATGCTTTCACGTTGAGTATATCGCCTTGTGGTATAGAGAATTTCAGGTCTTGGATAGGCAGATACAAACAAATATAAACTATGCATCAGAGTTTAACTGTAAGGCTTTAATCTGTTTTCTCATAGCAATGAAATATAAGGCTTTAATCTGTTTTCTCATAGCGATGAAATGAGCAATAGAAATCGCATATCAATCACTGTGTCCACATAGATAAAATCATTTATCTCTCCCTAGGCTTCTGCAACCACTTGTCTTTCTTTACACATGAGAGACATGCTCATTTATTCACAGCCCAATTTCTCAAGAGTTTAGAAAATATGAAGTGAAGCTTCCGGATATGGAAAATGCATTTTTTTGTTTGCATGCAGATGTTTTCTTTCACTGACTAATGGAAACTGTATAAACCATGACAGAAAGGGCTGAACTGAGGCTATTGCAAGAATTCTCTACTATTATTTCATTTGTTTTTATTAGAAAGAACAAAAACTACTCCAAAGCCCAGCTAGGCTGCTTTTAGGAGAATTTTGGGTTCCTCTCCATTCTATTTAGATTACTTGGCGACCTATTGACTCCTTGAGACAACCTCAATAAGCATCAACAGACCAACAAACATGACAAGTCTTCATGCTTTCACAAGAAAGTTGAAGCATCAGAAATATATCATCATTGGAAAAGGCCATCCTGACCAATGAAAATCTGGTAGAAATTTGAAATAATCCATAACTACGACAGCAAAAAGGATGCATCCACAACGTCCAAACAATTAGATCTAAAGGCGTTTAGGGGCTCCAAAATATCAGGTGAGTGAACTTATAATAATGAGATAGTGTTCCCAACAAATTGATACTTCAACAAGATGGCTCAAATTTCTAAAGCTTAATTAAATTTCTAACAAAAATTGTTCCAAATTGAGCATTTCAGTTCTCTCTATGTACCGATTAACAATAGGGTACAGGAAAGGTCTCTGCAATTTATCCTATCAATGTTTGAGCAAGGATTCCATAAAAAGCATTACTAAAGTTGCTTGTGGGGGAGAAAATATAAGACAACACCCAAAGAATCTCCAATACCTTTGAAAGAATGAATCATGTTGAATATATAATGATCAACTCTTTCCAAAACATTTGCTAACGACTAGAAAAAATGAGATCCCCTCATTGTAATGATATCTGCAATCACAAGCATGCTTTGGAGAGCCAAAGTCAACACCAAAATACGACACGATTCAAGGAGTATTGCCATAATTGTTGATATCTACTAGGAGCAATATGGATTTTCAGTCTGAAAATGCAGTTGTAATTTTTTCTTTTGAAAAAAAAAAAACCACTATCATAACATTTTAGCGACTAGATGAGTTGATCAACCATGTAACAAGAGCCAACGTAAAAATGTAATTATTGCACCTGTTTCTCAATCAAACTTTTTCAGATATCCACTGGACATTAGAGGAAAAGAGGAACATCAAGGTAAGGTCATACTTCTTGTCTTTTTTTCTTGTGCGGTATGAACACAGTTGGGGACAAAACATAAACTACAGAAAAAGTTTATGTTGAAGAGCTGAGGGCCAAAGCACTTTACACCATCCCCCACTTTGAAACAAACATGCATGGTTAACATATCTAATGATATGACTTTGATGTAATGATATGACTTCGATGTAATAAACCCTTACTGACGGGACAACCCAAAGATGTCCACCATCACTAAAAATTTGAATTAGATAAGAGGAATTTCGAACTCATGTCTTTCAGAGAAAAATCTGTACTAATATTTGGTTTGTAAATCAGAATTAAAGTCCCCATTTGGGTGACTAGCAATCCTGCCATTTAATAAAGGAAGCTCCTTTGCATGTTCCATTTCAACAGTGATAGCATACAAGTACGGAAATATACTAGAAACTTTTAAGGAATATTGCAACAAGTTCCATCTACTTCAAATGTAATCATCGACCTCTTCAATTTGGCAGGTTGGGACTGAACTTGGTCAAGAATTAGGGGCTTACATTTGTCTTTCTCTAAATTACCAATAATCTGCAAACAAGAAAAGCCAAATATATGGTGGACAGATTGGCCATGTATGGAGTATGGACATTTAGATATTTTCATCTTTTAGTTTGATTGATAATACAATTGATATGATATGATATAGATTCTAGTAAGAATATGAGTATAAAAACGATAAAAAATTATGCTAGCATTTTGGGTTCCCTCCCCCCCACTCGCCCACCCCGATCCATTATGATAGCAAATTGCATTGCTAGCAATAGTCATTATAAATTGTCAGCCATATTGCCATCCCATCTTATTGAAAATTGACATATCCCATGCCTATAACCATCTCGAGTATACACATCTTTGGAACATGGCTTTCTACCTCTTCCCATAAAGAGAGAGAAGCACACAGAGAATTTATGAGGAACAAATACAGGGTTGTGTGTGGGGTGTGTTCAATAGTGAAAGAACAAATATGACAGCAAAAGGAACAGGTTTAATCTGCGACAGCAAACAAAAATGTGAGAACCTGCATATTAAAGGAGTGTGACTATGTGATGGTAGGAGAATTCAGTGATTTCTTAAGCCACATAATTGACGTTATCAACATTAGTAACAGCCTAATAGTCTCCACTATTATAATCAAGCCTAACAAGAGTTCATCAGCTATACCAATTTGGAAATTTGATATCCCTCACATTTCTTATGAGCCTATGAACCCATAAAATTCATCCTCTTATCCTCTCAAGTCTATGTTCACAATCAAATCACCCATAAAAGTCACATATGAAGATACATCCAGCCTTGATACAAAATTCATTCTCAATCATCTCAGATCATAATACATCAATTGCTCAGAAATTGGTGCTGACCCCACACTAAACTACAAGGGACCAAGAGGTTACTCAATTTCCATATCCTACTTGACTCATTTTTACCTTGTATGACCATAACAGACCTCAAGTCTTCCGCTGACCACCAATGTTACCACCATAATGGTGATTTATCATAGGCAAGAGGCAAACCCATGTGCCCAAATCCCTTATCCACCTAAACTCCTCCCATTTCTACACCACTTTGTAGGAGATTCTCTCGAAGCATCATTGCTATTTCAATAAACATTTAGAAAGGGCAGACTTGATGAGATTAAATGATGTACCAACCCAAAGAAGCTAACAGCTTTTTCGAAGAAGACAGCTTCTGTCGTTCTGCTGGAACCCTTCAACCACCGGATCAAAGAGACTTTTCACTTTTGTGGCTTAACCCAGAAAAGGGAAAAGGAGAGGACAGGTGCCTCCCTAGTGCTCAACCAAACTGCAAAGTCTCGAACAAGTTCTGCTTCAAACACAACCCCTACCAACCAAATCTGTCCTCATTTAATCTTTTTTTCCCTAACACCACGAGTACCACCTAAGAACAAATATTAGGTTCTCTAGTTTTAAAGTTTACATGTGGTGCAAAGTACCAATGTGTTATACATGATCGCATGTGAAAGATTGATTCAGTACATGGAACCCTTTTACAAGAAGATTTTCCATGTCAAATGAAGGCATTGATCATAACTGTGAAGAGCAATGGAGATAGAGGATCACCTTGCCCAGACAACATCATCTGGTGAAGACATCCTTGGGTGTTTTCTTTGCTAGGATGGAAAAAAGGGATGAAAACATGACCACACTTATCCATATGGTTCACCTACTAGCAAAACTCATCTGCCTGAGCATGTAATATGTACCTCACAATCCACATGAACATAGAACTTTTCCTGATCAATCTTACACTTAACTCCCCACTGTTTTTCTACCATCAAACACTTGTGAACGGATTGCTTCGGATTTACTCTTCCACCACAGCAGGCATCTAGCTAGGAGAAATGACAAACCATAACGCATGCCTCGGCTTCAAAAAATAGACCTTACAATACTCTTATCATACCGCCAACCAAAGTAGCAGGTCCTAAGCAGCCAGTTAGGAGTGATTCCTCTCCATTCATTTCCATTTGTGTTTTAGTTTGCTTAGAATCTTGATTTTATAAGTCACAATCTCCATGATCTCAATTTATCTTTATTTTTCTCCTCAAAGAAGAGATATACTCCATCCTACACATATGTTGCATAATTCTAGCACTACACACTCTCACAACAACCCATGCATTCCTCCCATCATTCTTGGTCACTCTTCACTTATTGCTACAGATAGCATAATCAAAAGTAAACCTATAAAATAGTATTTCATTTGCTGAACAGTTACCGTATCTTGAAAATCACAACTACTTAACAAGTTAATGGTAGGGAAAGTAAAAACATATTTGCACAATCCACAAAAGGAGGTCCAAAGATGTAAACAAGACAAGCATGCCAAGCAGTTGTCAAGAATCACCATCCTATCCGACCATTAAGATTATGCAAGCTCCAGGAAACATGTGCTTCTGTGTATTTTATAATCAAGGGAAACATTTGTGAGTAACAAAGAGAAAAAACCCATCTAGAGTAGCACCTTGTTATCTTCATTGCTGAGGCATTCCAAGCAACGCTGCACGACATGATTTCCATTCAAGTCTTTAATTAGAGTCACGATCCCCGGTTCAAGAGCAGAGACAACCATTGAAATTTGGCATGGAGTTTTAAGAGTCTCTACCAACTTCTGAACGACACGTGTGCTACCAAAGGAAACACATCACCTTCTTTTAGCATAACAAAAGAGAAAAAATAGCTACCTAGGGAAGTTAAATATGACAGTTTTCAAAAATTTCAGAAGATATATCGAGATTCAGACATAAACAAAAATGCTTAAGAAATTTAAATCGTATTAAGAATAGTTCTTCACTGAAATAATTATAGAAGAAGTGGACAACAACATTAGTTATTACAAATAGTTCAAACCATTTTAGTCAGCACACGAGCAATCACAGTATCCCATTGAAATTCTAAGAACTATACTTCAAATGCAACTATGTGAGTCGCTAGCACAAAAAGCCATTTCAAGATAATATATTTAAAGTTCATATAGAACTTGATTTCCAACAGATGATATTAACAAGAAAAACGCAAAGCATTATGAAGCCAATGATATAAGAATAACATGACTAGAGTTTCAAACAAAGTATTATCGATTAAATATCATATTACCCATGCATATTTAGCGAGATCTCAACGAGCTCGCCAGGAGTCCCAGTGACCACATGGATAATTTGCATTCTTTGCTCTTCAGTGCACACTTCCAAAAGCTTTTGCATAAGATAGTTGCCAAAAGGATCAACCATAAGCTCAGGGATATGCTCAATTATCTCCTTAAATATCAACTCCATTTCTTGAGGAATTCCCTCATCAAATTTTTGCTGCAAAAACCGACACCCATGTTGATCCCTGGCAACTAAGTAGACCTGCCCTTCTATTTCTCTCACTGATCCATATTTAGGGGGCAAAATTGCAGGGCAAATGAGCTTCGAGAGAGAAGCAATTTCAGTGTTAGTAGAAGCGGCATATCTCAAAGGAAGACTGCCAATTAGCTCAGAGGTATCAGACCTTAAAGAACAAGAGCGGTTCTCATTTAGGTGACCCCTGATAACCCTCTGGTTTTCCCTTTCTTGGCTACTATGAGGAGCAGAACCATTACGGGGTGAATTCAATACAGGGGACTGGTTTCTCTTATAACATCCCTTTAAGACTAAGTGGTTATCTTGCAATAAATCACCATTTTGAAGGGGAGATAGAGCTTGAGGAGAAAGCCAGCCATTGTTTTCAGGATGTAAGTGAATGGGAGACCTGCCATTGCTGCTTCTTCCATTAACCATGAAAGAATTATAGAGAGGCAATGGAATATCAGAATTTGTTATTGGTGATGAAAGCCCTGATACACTACATGGGTTTCCTGGGCTCCACTCTCCATAGCTATGGAGAAACCCATTGGTTTTAACAGGCCTTTCCATGGCTGAGAGTGAAACAGGACATCGAATTTCCTTTCTCCCATTAAATTTTCCATCAAAAAATGGCTCCCCATACAATTGAGAACCCATCAAAGATGGGGCGCCTTGCAACATGATATGTTGTTCACTGATACCTGTATTAAGTTGCTGCACATTTCGCTGCCATGGCAAGTGATGATGAAGCTCTGGTCTATACGATAATGGCCCATCAAAAAGCTGAGAAGATTGATCATAGGACCCATTTAAACCACCCATTTGATTTTGCAGCAGTTGCTTTTGTTGTAAAAGAGGTAAAACTGGCCTAATATCATTTCCATGAACTGGAAGACCAAGTGGAATTGGGTACTGTAACCCCTCAAAACCATTGGAATATCTCACTGGACTTTCCACCAACGATTCAGGGACTTGAACAGAGTTCTTCATGACCACATTACCAGTTCCTTGAGGGTATGAGAAAGGTGAAATTTGGTCCCAATGGTTGTTACTCAAATGTGACCTCTGGTTCAATCTGAACCCATTGAGATCAAAAGGTCTAGGATATGGACTTGAAGAAGGAATTCCATTGTTTGGACTAAACACAGTCGAGTAGGCATCAATCGATGGATCGAAACTGTGAGAATAAAGGTTACTCTCTCTCCTCGATCCATCCAGCTTCTCATCATTCAAACACATTTGAGAGAAAGCGTTGTTTAATATGAGTTCATCTGTTAAATTATCATGTACTGGCAAGAGCAACCCATTCTGATGAATTGGGGTATTAGTTTCTCTCTCATCCGATAGAAACCCATTCTGATCAAGGGCCTGTGCATTACTTTCTCTCCCAAATTTAGTTTCTCTATCATAAGTTACAAGACCACTCTGTTTATGAATTTGGGCACCGTTCTCTCTCTCTCCTCTCACGAAGCCATTGAGATTTCTCACCAAACTCCTGGACCTAGCATCTTCATACAGGGGAGGAGAGCTCTCACCACAGGACCCATCTCCTGATAATCCACCATAGAAAGAGGTGAGAGAACTCGACGACGAACCAAACGACCTCAATGAGGTGTTCTTAACAGGGGATACGGGTTGATGGTGCCTAATTCCACCATATCCATGAAAGAAAAACTCATCGTACATCATGTCATGGACGGATGACGAACCATCCCTGCAACCATCTTCCTTAGACACACGAGAGTTTTCATTATCATCAGGACCATTGACAGGCATGCCATGATGGTGTTTAGGATGATGGGTATAGAGAAAATGGTGATGGAGAGATGATGATGATGACGATGTTGCATGGGGGATCTCATCCAAGAGGTTATCGAATTCCATCTCTTCTTGTCTTGTGGGTTTCATGGCAAAGTTCAGAAACTAACAGATGGGGTATCTAGAGAGAGAATTAAGCAGAGTATCTGGACTAGAGAGAGAGAGTGGAAGAAGACCAAGACCAAGACCAAGAAGACCAAGGAGCATTACCAGTATGGCATGTATGGTGATGCATGGGTTGATGATGCTAGATAGAGTTGCAGAGAATGGTGAGATGGGGTGAATTGGATTGCATTGTCATGAACAAGGCAGAGAGAGAGAGAGAGGAGAGATGGATGGGTTTGGTTTGGTGAAACATGCAAAGGCAATGGCGAAATGGGAAAGAGATAGAGAGAGAGAGAGAGGATGGGTGGCCATTTATACGAGTTATGAATACCGGTTGTGTACGGACTACGTACGGAATACGATAGTGGCCTCAATACTAAGATGCTCACTGTAGACAACCACCATTGCCGGACCTTCGAGGCCTAGAGAGAGAGAGAGGGCGGTTGAGGAGAGAGAGACAATGAGGAGAGTCTCAGAGGAAAAGATATTTGAGTCTACAAATTTAGAGGGAAGGTACAGAGAGAGAGAGAGTTTATAAGACGATTACTTCCCGTTTAAGAGAGAGAAAACCACGTTTAAGAGAGAGAGAAGGAAGGTGGGGAAGAGAGTCCTGAGTCAATTAGCAAGTTTCTATGTTTAAGAACCATGACTCGTAATAAATAGTGAGGAAATCTTCTCCTTTTTTTTTTGTTTTTTTTTTGGGAGTGAATTAAGATATTTCTGAGATTAATTAAATTCAATAATAGGGGACGGCCAAACCAACGCATCTTCACCTTCTAAAGAGACCATTTGCACAGGCAAGTATTAACATCGCTGATTTCGTTGGAGATCGCACGGTCCTCACTCTTCCACGTCAGCAATGCAACTTCGCACTCTCTTTTTCCTGGTGGATTACCAATATGCCCCTGAATTTATCTAATGTCCAAATTACCCCTCGATGGACCAAAATCAGCAGTTATTTCACTCCCCACTGCTTTTGCCCTTTCCTTTATATCAAATTGACACAAATACCCTCTCCAAAAAAAAATAATTTTTTGAGTAAATCCAAGTCCTATTTTTTTTTTTAAATAATTTAGGATTCACTGGTTTTGAAGATACTAATGAGGTATTTGAACAAACTGGTTTCTGTCGATAACAGTAATTGGTCTGTCGATAACAGTAATTGGTTTGATTTTAGCTAGTTCGCCTTATTTTTTTAAGACAACCAAGCCGTTCAACAAAGAAAGAACTTGCAATCTGGAGCGTCCAAATCACCTACTTTTGATACTCTATATATATATATAGTTATTTTCTATTCACCACGGCTAATTTCCAAGACGACGGGCTAGCCCTATCAATCTAGAGTTTAAGACCGTGCTTGAAACTAACCGAAATTGATGGTGAAAGTTTTTAAAACTTTTGCAAAAATTTAAAATAAAAACATAAATAATGTATCTAACAATGAGGATGCCGTTAGAGGGTATTTTGGTAAGTAGGATGTATCTTTTCCAGCAAGTAAACCGCGTTGTAGAGAGGACGCCATCGAGACGGAGATAGAGAGAGAGTTTCCAAAATTAGAGAGGAGGGATTCTCACGGTTTAGAAAGAGTAAAGATAGGGAAGAGGGAGAAATTTCTTTTTGGGCACAAATATTACGCTCCCTCGTGACCATGGTTTATTTCTACCCCTTAACGAAATCCACGATTTTTTTCAATATGAAATGTTGGGAAAAGTTTAAGAATTATTAAATAATTATTTAAAAAACAAATCGAAATTTGAGTTTTCTACTACCTAAATCTCACTGCCTAAAAATTAGATAGTCTCTTTTCAATCACAATACATTCATTATTTTAAAAAAAAAGTATTTAGGTTATTCTATGGGTGGAAAAGGTTACATATCAAAAATTTGGGATCCAAAAATTATTTGTTGATAAAACTCGAGGGAGTAAATAGACAATGAACTCCTGAAGGAGTAAAAATATGTTGGAATATTTGTGGGAATTCTAGCAAATAATTATTGGCATTTCGGACCGAAAGAAAGACGGAGGAAACAAGAGAGAGGGGGGGAAAGTATGAGCGAGAAACAGGAAACAGAGAGAAGAGTGGAGTTGGGGCAAAGAGGGTATTTTCGTCATTAGGTAAACCCTAGTTTTATTTTATTGTTATTATTTTGTTAGATGACAACAATGCCCCTTCATCACGGACTGCTGCTGGCCGGCATAAACAACACCGCTTCTCAATCGAAAAATCGTAAAATTTCGGGTGCCCTCAAATTTAAATCGTGAAAATTTCGGGCGCCCTCAAATTTCGGATAGTTCCGAAAATGGGGCTGCAAAATACTAAATTTGACGATATTTTCTTAGTATCTAGTTCCATAAATTTAGGGATTTATTTGTTTAAAAAATGAAAATTCCAAAATGTGATAGATGAAAGATCCCGTTATTTTTTTGCCATTAAAGTTTAAAAAACACAAACAGATAACAGTAAAAATTTCCAAAAAACTTCCTACTCCCGTTGGAGTATGGTGTCTATTTACTCTCTCAAGCAATACTCAATATAGGAGTTATTAGCAATACGCAATATATGAGTTATTTTAGTATTCTAAATCTGGGGATATAATCTCTTCAACACATATACCAACATTAAATTTTTTTTTCTTTGTATGCATTTAGAAAAGGAATAAGTTTAAACAAAGTTGAAACTTTAAAATGTAGAATTAAAGATGCACCTCAAAAATCCATTGGAAAAGATTGTTTTAATGTTGAAAAACCCTCTAATTGATCATCTCGATGTCGAGATGTATGAATATAAAAAATAAAAAAAAATTTGAGT